GAGGGTTCACTGTAGTGAGTGATTATGATAGTTTTATAGTAAATTACTCTTAATAGTCCTGGGATTAAAATTCGTGATTATAAAGTTGTCCTTTTATACACTGTTAGATATAGTTTCCTAATATTTTAGCTAAATATTTGCATTGAAGTTCAAAAGTAATTTTTAATTTAATAATGGATAATGGTGATACAGTGGGTTAAGTATTAGAAGGTTAACTGCAGAGCTGATCGATCAAACCTACCAGCCCTTCCTTGGGAGCACGGGGAGGCTATCTGCTCTCATTGACATTGACAGTCTCAGAACACTGACGGGGCAGTTCTACGAGGCCCGACAAGGTCAACAACTCAATTGCCATTGGTTTGGTTTTGGTTTGATAGTTTATCTCGAATCCGCCTTTCTCATTTTTCCTTATGCAGTTTAGTATAAAGGTTAGGTTTATCTCACAACTTGAATTGCGGGGTGATCTCACTTCTCTCAGAAAAAAAAGTTTCTGATGGAGTAATCTGTTTTGGAAATCTGAACGTATGGCAGAACTTTTCTCTTCAACCATCTATCTGTACACTATAGTTTTTCATGATGCATGTGAATATTTAAGTGATTAACTTTTTGTTATTAAAATATTCAGGTTTTCTATTTCTTAAATTTACTACATTAGAATTTTCTCAGAATTTTCTCAAATTGAAAATTAGCATCAAGGATGCTTTTATTATTTTGCATTTCTCTCACTACCATTGAGTCAATTCTGACTGTGGTGACCTTATTCTTAGTTCTTGTTTTCCCCATTGATGAGCCTTGCCAGAGCTCTGCTAACATATTTTGCCTCTGTTTCTTCTATTAGACTTTATTGTTAATCAGCATAATTATCTTTCAGTTATCCTTTTTTCAATTTTTCCTTTTATTAGTATTAGCTTGTTAGTTTTCATCTTTTCTAATATAAACTATTTCCTCTCCTCTCTACTTTAGCTCTGTTCCAAAAATATTGATAAGTAGAATAATTCTATGTTTTTTTAAAATTTCCATTATGAGTTCTTCTTTCAGTCATAAGTAATAAAGCTATAATTGTTTGAAATTTATAAGCTATTCAAACCAAGCCTATTGCCATTAAATCTATTAAGACATGCAGGAGTCTCTAGACTGCAAACCTGTACAGGTGCAGACAGTACACTTTTTCTCCTATGGAGTGGTTGATGAGTTTGAACCACGGACGTTTCTGTTAGTTGCCTAATGCCTAACTCACAGCATCTTACAAACTGAATCCAGGTTGAATTTCTGGAAGTTTTCAGTTGATGTATGGCTGCATCCATATTTTATATGCTACCTCTGGAAACGGTTGAATGTAAAGCAATTCTTTGACTGTGTGTATTTCTTCTCCCTTCTCTTGATGTTTTCTTTATTATTAAATATTTTGTCCAATGAATACCTCATTATTATAACTTGACACTTGACCCTTTTCTTCAATATTTTTAGTTTGAGAAATGTTGGTCATGTTCTTCCCTTTAAATTTTCTAACTCTAGCTCTTTTCACATTTCAATATGAAGCTGTGATAGTTGGGTTTTATGGTACAAGGACTGGGCCAGGGTCCTCAATGGCTTGGCAGTAAGGCCTTTGTCTTATTGTGACCAAACATACTATAGACAACTCCAGACCACCATTTACTCAAGTTACAGCCTGATGAATTCTCCTTGGGCCTATTTCATATCTATAAATAGATGCTACCAAAAACCTTTCTCCCTTTTTCTAAATCTATTACGTGGATTCTGCATCTATTCCATCAACTTCTAATTCTTTGGACTTCAGTCAACAGCTCGCCACATTGCTACAGACTCTCTGTAGCCTACCTTGACTTCTGATCTGGCAGTCGGCTTCTGCATTCAGCAGCCGTGGTCTTTCTCCTTTGTTTTTCTGACTTCGTTTGCTGGCTTATTCCTTCTGCCTGCTGGTTTGTTTTCCAGTGTTCTGGGTCCCCAGTCCCAGTAGCCAC